ACTTAATGGTTTGCTTATGCTGAGAAGAATACTGGCCGCAAACATTGATATTTTTCAGCAAATGTTACGCCTAGGCCCCTGCACATCTACTGCATGGCTAGGTATGCATGATGGTCTTCGACCTGCGAATTACTCTGCGATATTGGGGCTAACTAAAGTTTATGAAGGATATCACTTAAATTTTAAAGCACAATCCTAGGAGAATGCTAGGATAAGTACAATAAAGTTTTTAATATCATTTTTAATATTTTTACTGAGTTCTTGCATACAGTACATCCATTACAGTAGAACATTTTAAGAAGTTGTTCATTTTCTAGTACATTTTATTATTTAAATTTAAGTATGATGAACAGAAAGTTATGATTGTTTAAAAGTTAACCAAATGCATGGCTACAGTTTAGTTTAATTTTAGTTAGTCATTCTGAAACAAAGATTTTGGACATACACTTTAACACAGTATGTTGTGTTAAATGCTCTTTTCTTGTATAGTTGCTCTGCGGGTAAGGCAAACCATGGAGGTATTATTGAGAAGGAGATCACTCGGCAACAGATCCCTTTGACGCGACAAACCTATGTGTTCCCCGCTTTCGGATCGCGCGCGGGCGTATTGCCCTATAATTCACATTTTTTCGTTAGCAACAACTTGGCAACGACATGCATTTATACGCTTCCAGCAGAGCAGTTGTGCAATAAAACGTTTGATTTTAACTCATTAAATATCTTCATAATGAACAATGTTCCCCTGATTAGATTTTTTCGGGCTTTTGGTATGTTATTATTTGTATATTTCAGGAACAGATTCCGTAAAATATTTATGTTAAAATTACTTCTGTGTTCATTATAATTTTGTCTAAATATTGACTGGTTCGACTATAAAGCTAAGTCAGCGTAAAACTGAAAAATAGTCAGATTTTGGATTCATTTTTCGAATAGTTAACCCTCGTTAACCCTAAAATGACTTAGTTTATTATAATCCTTAATCATTTATTAATTAATATCTGTTAAAATTAGAATTGGCGAATTTTGGCTAATTTATCAAAATTGAAGTTGAAATATACTATACTTTTATAGGTCATGTAAATGTTTCATTAAAATTCAAAACTTTTCTTGGTTAAAAATATTAATATGTTTAATATTTTATGAGAGATAAATGTACCAGCTTCAAAATAGGAAAGATTGCGCAGCCATAGTGATTGACAGTATGTAGTGCGCATTGAGAAAAGAAGGTGCTCTCCATTTCGTCATGTTCAATTTTTTGGTCAACTATGCCTGCTGAAAATTTGATGGCGGGGAACACATGGGACTTCAAAGGCATCGCGCAAACGTTCTTTACGCGCTGCGGCAACTTTGATCTTGGTTCATTTACATAGCGCTGCGTGCGCGTAGCTTACCCGAGTGATCTCCTTCTCAATAATACCTCCATGGGCAAACTAAACTGCTAATAATTTTTAAGGGGCCCGTCAGCTTCATGGCGCCAACCAAACACTTGGAAGCTACCTGTCAAAGCAATGGGCAGCTACCTGATGTTGCTTGCTTGGATGTGGTCAATTTGTGACTATAGCAAAAAAAAATTATTCAAATTATTTATAAAAAATTGTTTGCATGTGCCTGCAGCCATTATTCTCAAACAGTGCTGCAGCCCATGTGCCTCATTACCGTATTTTGTTGGTACATTTTAGAAGATGAAACTGGGCGCTATGTATCCTACGGAAAAAGGTGTGACACCAAATGCGTGACCATTACATTACATTGATACATGTTGATTTTAATGTACAGTGCCACAGTCTACAATACGATTTACTCCTGAAACAAAAACGTATGGTATTGGACATGTGACTTTATAAGCAAATGTATTTTTAGCACTAAATAGGTAGTGATGGTACATAAATATATCTAAAAATACTAGTCAATGAATCCAGCTCTCTAATTGGTCAACATATTTAGCAGATTCCTCCTTTCAAACGACTTGTCCAATAGTGACTGATATATTACGTGACCAAGATAGAAACTACTTTCAACTTGAATACATTCTTGTTCATGAACTACTTTAATGGAATTTTGGTCACTGATGAAACAGCCAAAGTGGTCATTGTGTCAAAGAGTTATCATGTAAATTGGTGTCCTTCTTTCCTTCTGGGACAGTCCATATACAGCCCAGGTATTCAAACTTTCTAAGTGGTCAGTATCAATCTGTTGGGGCAACACATGGACCAACATAATTTTGTACTCAAAAATTATTCCAATCATCAAAACTCCACCCATTTAATTCATATACAACTACAGACCTATTATATAAAGGTAGGAAGACTTATGATTCTTTTTGACATCAACATGATAGGCATTATTTTGAAAAATATGACGGAGTAGATTATCTGATTAGGGTGGGCACACCATATCAAGACTCTTGTTTAACATTGCCAGACTAAGTGGCTCTCTGAATTTCACTGCACAAGCTAAGATCATCAATGTTTCTGATTCTGACTTACTTTCTGTAAATTAGAAGATTCTAAAACAAGTCATTAAAAAATAGTTTTTATTACCTGCGAAACAATAATAAACCACTCGTAATTTTTGTAATTTTCATAAATATTGTTTTGATAATATAGTTCTATAGACTGTTGCTTTCTTTTTGTTTTATCACTAAAATGTTTCATTTTAACTCTTCTACGTTTATTAATGACAGCAGCAGCAAATGTTGAGCTTTGACCTATTCATGACTGTCATTATAGGCAAGAGGTCAACAAACTTCTTTAACAAATATTTATACCCACGACATGATGTAGAAACAAAAATAGAAAATTCAGAAAAATCAGATATCTGACAATGAGAATCGATTCATAGAAAATGAAACACAAAACCTCCAAAAAAAATCATTAATCACTGTCTCTGTACGGCAATGACAGAAATGGTTTCTATAAAAACTGAACGGCTGTATACTAAGGCAGCAAACATGATAAACAGTACAATAAAGTGTTCCAACTGAATTTTTCAATGTCTTTTATTATTAAAAGAGAAGGTCCAGTGGAAAAATTAGCTTGATTGGAATTTGGAGCATTTTTTAAGGCTAACTTCAAAAATTACTACAGAAAATCACTAATATTTACCAATCCTCTATGGCCTAGTTCAAACTAAAGCATTCTGATCGTGACCCGAATCTAACTAGCTAGCGTAAATGTTGGCATCATTGTGTGTGTGAATGCCCATCGGGATAGGGCGATCGGGATAAGCCGATCAGGATTGGTTAACAGATCATGGCCACTAACGGTTAGCAAATTAACCTCGTTCTTAAACAACCCCTCAGATGCTAGCATTTTCCCATTCGCAGCAGCGTATCTTTTTATTCCTACCAACTTCCTGTTATTTTCATCCAAAATCTACAATGTTTTATCTGTCCTTCCATATTATAATTTTTATATTGTTCTTGTACTCAGTACTGTTTTTTTTTTTGTTTTTTTTTTTAAATTCCTGAAGATGAAAAGTATTAAGGTCCTCTGTTTCTGTGACTAAACACCCTTTTGTGGGTCATTCTTGATGTCATTTTCTTAATTAATGGCCCTGGGATTTAACAAATACATCAATCCCACAGTCAATCCCACAGTCAATCCCACAGTCAATCAGTCTAGCGTTACAATTTGTAGGGACTTTCCCACCATATTTTATTTACTGTTACAAATAATAATAATAATAATAATAATAATAATAATTGGTGCATCCGAAACACAAAACTTAAAGACAAATTATTACAAGATACATAAAATTAAAACTCAAAACAGCTTAAATTACTCCCTTCCTCCTTCCCCCTCCTTCACTAAAAATTCAAATGTTATCCCTCGCCACAAATAAAACTGAACAAAACACTACCCCTTAATTTCAGAAACAGTACTCTTCTTCCCTCCCCAAACAATACATTTATCCCTTCCCCTCAAAAATAACATCAAAACAGTAATGCAGGAAAGATAACAACTAAAATGAAATTGAAAAACAGAGATGAACTGTATAGTATAATTAGACCATGGATATCAAAATCTCACTGTGAAATTTCCATGCTCGTATCTTTTGCAAAACTTGTCGAAGATATTTTCATACTTTCTGCTAAGTAGCAACAATGAACAACCCAAAATATAATGGATTTTTAGGTTATCCTTGCATTAATAAATTATTTGCAATTTAGAAATTTCATCATTTTCAAAACAATGATTACCGAGTGTTTACTGAAGTAGGCTACTTAAGTATCTTAATTATTGTAAACCCCAACCTCGTTCTTTTAGTATTAATCCTCTTTATCTTTTAAGTTTTCAGTAGTTTTTGTAGTCTATTTTTGTTAGGACAAATGCTAACTTACTTCATTGTAGCTTTGTCATAATTTTGATTTAAATCAAGTATTGTTTAAAGTTTGTTAGACATTAAATTTTTTTTTTTTTTTGTATTTGATAGTGTATGGTGTTGTTATTTTACAATTGATTTTGTCAATGTGCATTTCTGTTTATAATTTAGATTAATAAGTATTTTACAATTGTATTTATGTGCCTCACAGCCTTTTGTAAGAACACCCAGTGGGTGAAAGGGTCACGTGAATAAATAAAGATTATTATTATTATTATTATTATTATTATTATTATTATTATTATTATCAGTACATATATTTTGTAGTGCTGGGCAGACTAAGGTGAAATGGCAAATATTCTCATCTGAACATAAATTTCAGAGTACATTTTGTGTTATTATTTGTTGACTATCTTGATGTTCTGAAATTTAGTGGTAGCATATTTGATCTAAGTTTAAATTTTAATGCAACCCCTCAAAGTTTGTTTTATCAATAATGTTTCATAGCTTTATGCTATCTTTCATCATGAAACCATGTTTTGAAGGAAATAACAATTCAACAGCTAAGTTAAAGATTTAAAAAATGTGTTTTGCACTCTGGCCCAATTCTGAGTTCCAGTTCTGAGTCTACTAAATTTTAATGACATTTAAAGAGAGAAATGTGTACTGATACTTACTGAAACCTTCAATACGGCCCATTTGTCGACGCCAAATCAGCTGCCTAGTCTCCATCAATACCTCAAAGGTTCTCTTTTCTGGTTTCTTTCTCTGGAAGAATTTTGTCATTACTTTCCCCATTACAAACTCTTTCTTTATGTAGTGAATGTTCTCCTCTGAGGTAAGCAGTCTAGGAGAACACTTCACCGTGTTTTCCACCACTATCACCGAGTCGGTGCTTGCACCGTTGAAACTTGCCATGTGGAATTATTGTTCCTCCACTATATGTACAAATATCAGCCTGCAATTAAAGGTTAGGTAAAGGTTCAGTAAGGTAAAGGTACAGTAAGAAGGTCGCAACCTGAAGATCTGGGCTCACAGTCTGGAGCGTCCGTCTCTCTCCCCTTTGCGTTTGGGCAAGACTGTGCAAGGCTGTGGGGGTTCACCACTCCTCCCACACTGCAGTATGTTTTACCTTCCCAGCCTACAATTCTGGTACCCATTTACAAGGTTGTAGCTAATGAAAAATAAGGGTGGGGATTTTTTTTTTTTTTATTATATTTTATTTTATTTTTATATTTTGCTTTTTTTTTAGCATTGGTAAACTCTAGATAATACAGGTGGATTTGAAGGATGGAAAGCGGGTTAATAAGGGTGGGTGGAAAGCCATGAAATTAGCTTTATAGTGGGTGGAAAACTTCAAGGCTAGGTGGCCCCGCCCACTATAACTACATCCCTGCATTTATACACCTGGGTGGAGAGAGACAAACGTAGATAAAATGTCTCATACAATTTTCCCCAACAAGTACTAGTTATCTACAGTATCCTTAGTGACCAAGTTCAGTATTAATTAAATTAATTTAAGGTACTGCAATACAAAATTATTATATTTCACCTACTACAGTAGACTATATCTACATATATTCAACTTCTTTGTTATAAAAATAAATTACATAGAAACAAAATTAACATTCCTTACACAGATACAATAACTGAAGCGGAAAAATTAATTCAATTGTTGTGAATTGAGGAAATAGTCAGGACATCTGAGCAAAATCATTCTATCTACTGTACACCAACCCTACACATGAGTGTCTCCGGCTACAGGTCGGAACCTTTTCTGAGAGGTCTTGAGCCCACACACCACTGTTGGCCCTTCCACTGGTAGGGTTAATCTATGATTCAAATTGCATTACTCCGACGTAAACAACGAGCCACAGGTCCTGGCTGTGCAACACTTTTGGGTCTGGAATTGATATACCCAAAAAAACTGTCATGTGGTATAAATCACAGACTGTAAAGCTTTCTTCCTGTTCCGCCTCTATTCCTGGATCCGCCATTGTAGTTTTTGGTGTAAATACTCACCCACCTCAGAGATTCGGTTGAATATAACAAAAATAAGTTGGTAAGAAGTATTGATAGCAAATGCGATCTACACTGACAAATTCTCAATTTGCCAAGAAAATGGCACAGCCATTTCTCAAATGTGAAACTGAATTTGTGTCAATAAATTACTGTACAAGGTTTATGATATTAAAGACTCATTTAAATTTTTCAAATATACTAAAGGCATTATGCACTTTCACCTTCTCTGGAAGCTGAACCAACTACTCACCGTCAACTGTTACTCTTTCTCAATTCAAATCTCTCACCTTTTTGATACATTTTATATATTACTGTAAATACCTAAATAATATTACGGTATTATTAAAAAAATGCAAGGACAGGGGCCTTAATAATAGGGAGTGGATATATTTACGTGACCATAAACAAATCAGTAAACGATATACTTATGTGAAATAAATAAAGCATGCGCAGTCATACTTTAAAAAACTTGCATTGTCGGTCACGTAAATTCATCAATTCTGGTTAAATGAATGTCAATGTGAGTTTCAGCGTTCGAAAATTAGCGTCGGCCCAAGCTGCGGTGCACAAACTCACCATCAGCATTAATTTAAGTAATTATAATTTTGTTTTTATTAATGTAATGTAATATCCTACAATAGTATTTAGTTTAATCATTGAATTACATTATTAAATCATTGTGCTAAATTTTCAAATAAAAGTGATATAGTATTATGAGCTGGAAATATTGTGTTCTTTTAATTTTACTTGCGTAATTTGTTGAACACACTTGACAACGTACAATATCAAACAGTATAGAACTGCAGTTGTATACTCTTTGACAATTACCAGAATACTAGGCCTACGCCAAAACAAGGAGGTTCTCTGCTAAAACTAGCACTCAATTACCACAAAATCGAAACGATATTCTTCTAGGCTAAAGCCTGTATTGTTTAGCGATAGTCAATCATCACAGAGTAATTAACATTTTAATGTTTTTATTCAAACACATTTACTGACGTCTTTAATCGCATCGAGCCCTGATCGAGTGCAAAGAACATCGAGAAAGACTACGTTAGAGAGCACGTAACCCACACTCTACAAAGTATGCTATGAAGCAAGAAGTAAACAAGGAACATGCGCATATATTTTGTAATTTATAGACAAAACAAAAAATAAGACACTATCCTATAGTACGTTGTCGCTAACAAAAACAACATTGACAGTTAATTTGAAAGAATACCATGCTGTGCAGCATGTGTCTACAAGTATGGATGCAGAGAGCATAGAATAAACAGCATTATGGTCATGATGCGAGTAGAGTGATAAGAATACAAATACATACTTATTCTAGCTCATTATCACAATGATTCAATAGTCTATTTAATGACTGAATATACTACTGTAGCAAATTTAATTACGTTAATAATAAAAATGGTAAAATTATAATTAAATACCTATTTACGAACATCAAACCTCCCTGTCGTAAACTGCTTACAAAAATTCATTCAACCAATTCGGTGATTCTCCATGTGCGTTGATTTGCTGTCAATTCGATCCTGTGTTGTTCAATTTAATGGCTTCTAAAGATTAGAAACTCCTTTAACCAAAGGATCCACTGATTATACGCAAATACTGTAGATGAGTATGGCAACTCCGAAAAATGACAGACACGAGGCCATAATTGATTCTACTTTTCATTTTTTATTTGAACATTGTCAAGAATGACACCATACTCATATTAGGGAAACTCCCTTGTTTTTACAAAAATTTGTTTGGTCAATATCTTAACATGACTATAAACATTTACACGTTTGGGGAAAATATGATTTTCATATACTGTGGATTCATGGTACAGTGGATTCATAAATTTAACTTGCCAAAAAAATGGCCTCAAGTGGTAAATCAGTAATAAGCTTGGGCACCGCTGCTTGGGCCGACGCTATTTTTGAGTGCTGAATGTTGAACGCACATTAACGTACATTTAAATAAAATTGATAAATTTACGTGACTGATAATGCAAGTTTATTAAAGTATGCTGCGCATGCATTAGGCCAAACAAAATTAATCGTTAGTTTCACGTCCCCGCCCGCACCGATTTTTGGAGCCGCATAGATTTTTTTACTAATTGCTATTTTTCTATATATAACAAAAAATGATCGTTTTTCCGTGAAAAAAATGAAATATCTCGAAGTTTTTCGAGACAACATTTCTATGAATTTACAAACAGCGACTGGATTGATAAGACTATTTTGATCGTCTCTTGTTTTTTTGTGACGGGAGGATGGTAGTCAACGGAGGTTTCTTATTCTCCGCATCAATTTTTCATCAAAGATACGAAGTCAACCGTCTGCCGATCATTCGTCCGTACTGCTGTGTAGGCCAGGCCTCAGTCCTAGCCTACCTAGACTGACACAGTACGGGTGAGCAAAGTTAAGTATTCATACATTAATTATTTTTTTCAGCTAGATGAAGGAAAGGAAGCACCACCACCTTCTAATGTTATTGAACATACAAAAGTTTTTGGGTATCACCCTTCATCAGGCATAGGTATTTTATTTTTTAAATATTGTCTATTTTTATGTATAGAGAATATTCTTTGTAACATGTTGTCGATGCCTTCAATGTCAATTGCAGTAGTTCACAGTACTTCTCTTCTTGTAAATCCTGGTACTAGTAGTACTTTAAAAAAAAAACACCTTAAAATTCACTCTTACTATCACACCTTGATTAAAATTATTGTTTTAATCAATAACTGTATTTTATGAAATATTCTTAGTTTAAATCCTTTAAAAACAATAATTGAGATGTTTATGAAAATAAAAGTGTTACAATACAATGTAGAGTGGTTGTTTTAGCTTCAATTATTGAATGCAGTGTTTTACATACCACCATTTTCTTTCATCGAAAAAATAGCAAATAATAAGGCCCCTCATCAAAAAAAATTTCAAATTCCAGACGTGAAACTAATAATAAATTTTATTTGGCCTTTATTTATTTCACATAACAGGGCTTGAAATTAACTTTTTTTCTTGGTAGCACTGCCAAAATTTTCTGGCACCCCCCAAAAAAATTTGGTAGCACAATTCATTTTTTTAGTAGCACATATTTCCCCATCCTTTTCGCATAAGTTAAAAAATTCAACCTAACTGGAAGGAAAGGGAAAGTATTTCATGGAAAGTTTCAATTGTTAGGAATATTTCTAAGAAAATTACAAATTTCTGTTAATTATAACAGATATACACAATATAAAAAAGAAAAACATGAGCAGTAATAATGTGCTAGCTAAACTGTCTAGTCAATGGACTGCCAAAATCTGCAGTTACATAAGTGGATTGATATATTGATTATAAAATTATTAATTATTATTACTGAAACATTAATTATATTTTCTGTACACTTTCTTTAAATTTTTCAGTATTTTTCTTCATTTGTGCAGGAAATTTTGAGAAAATAGGTCCGCAGAATTGCATTAACACTGCGAATGCCTATACATTGGTTACAATAGCCACCGGCCGACTTTACTGCAACATTTGCACGGAAATTCGCAGACTTATTTTTAATATGCGTGGATGGAATTTTTTCTTTATGAGATAACTCTAAATCAATTTACACATAATAATTTCAACCCAAACAGAGTTCCAGAGTTTTCACTAACATGTCGGGAGTGCTGAGATTCCAGCTCCCCACTTGTCAAAGGCCATTTAGGCTTCGTTTTAAGCCCGAAAAATTGGCATCACACAGTCGGCCGGAGACACTTCTTATTTAGGTTATAATGTAGCCTAGAACATTAGGCCTGGGCCTGTACAACTTCAGCAAAGTATCTTATACCTACATATATAACGATCTATAGTTTTATTTTCTTGTTCAATGGTTGTTTTTATTGAAAACTATTACAAAAAAAAAAAAAAAACTGGTACGCCTTCCAACTTCGAAACTTCAGTATTAATCGCCAGAGAACATCGTCACACTTCTAGTGTTTACAAAGGTTTCGTGGAGTAACATATCCCAAACATTGCAAGTTG